ATTAGATATAGGCTTGTGATAAGAACTACCATTGGCTCATAGTCACACTTAAAAACAAAACCTTGATCGAGAAATTCAACTTTTTTATATATTTAAAGTAAAAGAGACCTTACAAGTATGTTAAAAAGTGTTTCAGTTTCATATCACTAATTGTTGTTTAATATATTGTGCATGTGATAACCCTTCATTCATTAGACCTTAGATTTTGTTCTAGTTTTTTTTTAAGATACATGTATAAATATTTTCTAATATTTAATGTGTATGATTGATAAACTTTTCTTTGTTAGATTTAAAAGATACTTAATCTACTCATATATTAGTCACTCCTATTGTGAATTCGCTTATTAGTGTTTTGCCAATTGTTTATTTGTTTTGTTCATTTATGAAGTTGATGATTTACCCGGAAAATAAAACTTTTGCAGCATTATCTATCTAACGTTTTCATATTTTTATATTTTACTAGATAACATTAAAAAGGACAACATTGTTACTTCTGTAATTTTAGGACATTTATCTTTAAGCTAATCTGAACAAAAAACCTGTCTAATCCATCATAATTCACTACACCGCACCTCAGCTACAATTATCACCACCACCCCATTATATATATATTTACTACTAATGGATAGCATAGATGACAGAGGTTAGGTATTTAATGCCTTATGTTCTCTTTATTAATAGTCCACTTGTTTACTTCTAGACAGATGCATTATAGATAACTGGTCGAGGTCACTGATTATCTCAATATTGAGATAATAAGAAATGAGAACAATTAGGAAAAACGCCAATCCTAAATTCAATTAAGTATGTAGAATATATCTTCATTATATCTGACATTTCATTAAATTAAATAAAAAATAATAATTTTAGCCAATTGAAAATAGTTTTACTAAAGCCTAAGTTGATATAGTCTATAATAAACTGTTTCTTTGAAACGAATTTGTCACTCAGAAAAAATAATTTTCATTCAACAAACTTTTTTGTAACTGTTTTACTACGAAAATATCTAATTTTTCGGGAAGATTCAGTAGCCTGAAACTATTTGATTGCAAAGTACACTAATCAGAACAAAAACTGAACGTTCCATCGTTGGTTCTATTTATAGGTAAATGTAAATGTGTTGTGTTCGCATGAGTACCTGAGGCTCAGATATAAAAATGATTACTAAAAACCTAATTAAACTCACTTTTGTAGTAATGATTGGTTAATTCAGTCTAACCTATTTCTTCTAATCTGGAATATATCGCAGAAAATAAGTTACATTCAGATGGTTCTGATTCTAATGTAGTTTGACACCAAAACACTTAGTCTACTATCGATGATGTGAACCTTACAACTGATGTTTGTTCCTTGAACCTTGGTTGGTAGAAATAGGATAACGATTATTAACTTTAAACTTGAATCAGAAATATGAAGCCTGCAGAAGTCCATTTGAACGAGAGTAATTAATTAGCTTTTGGTAGGGTGATAATAGTCATTTTGTCGTCAAAAAAATATGGAGTCAAAAAGTATTTTTGAAATTGAGTCAGCTTTATGAGCTATATGAAACTTTACCAAAACCATTCAGAGTTAAGTATTTGTAAAAATGCCAAATGCCTATAATTAATCCTACTGAATCAGTTATAATAAAAAAATTATCAGCAATTTTCTAGTGACTCTTTACTTTAATTCCTTCCAGACAGTGGGCATAAACATACAAAAATGAAGCCAATTCTCAGTAATACACGGGATTACTACATGAATGATAAGTCTTAGATCTGTTACTAGTGGTACGTAACTCATTACATCATTGAACAATTCAGTAAAGACAGTGGCATATAATCGACTGAACTAAGTTCATCCTAAAAGTACCGTCTAAACACGGATTCTGTAACCATTTCTTTATTAAACACGTTTATTTTAATTTAATTTACACATCAGTGGATAAAAAAATGCCCAAATCAAATTTTCCGTAATGCCAAAATCTATTGTATGTCAGACTAAATTTAAAAATGCAACAGAGATTCCTAAATTCATTCAGTCATAACCAAATACATACTAGACGGAAACGTCTAGTTTCCAAGATATTCTTATCGTAAACGCTAATATCTCTGGTGACTAGGTACTACTGATATTTACACTTTTTTTCTCTTTCTACACAATCAGAGTAAATCACTTGGCTAATTTACATCTGATAAATATTTTGCCACACCATAAATATGCATATTACATGCATTAGTAGTATTATCGATAAAATAATATGATTTGTCTACAAATAATGATGTGCCCATGTGACATTTTCAGTTTAAAGTTGTCAGTAACTGAATGAATATTTGTCTAAGATTTTCGTCGTTTCTTTTTCCTCACTAAAATAAATAATAAATGAAGCTGAATTACTGAAAGTGATAAGTCGATATCTTTTTATTTTTGAAAAAAAAATATTATGCTTACTAACTAACGTTTGACTAGATACTATCATAGTAAACTCCTAATGTAAATTCACCAGGAATTTTAATTCCAAATCAATCATTATTATAGATAGGAATAAATAGTAGGAACAAGTGGGAAAATCTTAGTAAATCTAATTAGTTTCATAGAAAATTATTACCGTCTCACTGATGTCTTTAGACTATATTTTTTCTTTTAAAAATATGACAAGAATGGTGACTTATTTAATCGCACAGTTTAAACAGTTAGCTAAAATAAATATAGAAAATATTAGTCATTTTGTTTAAACGGAACTCAGTAATTTGTCACTTATAACTGTTTCAACAAATTTCCTGATGTAGAATTTCATTTACAGTTCTAGTAACTGAAAACTACTGTCCTAAAGTGACGTTCATCGGACAAAACTATTTAAAAAAATAAGATTGAGATTACGATTTTGTCAAAAGAAAAACATAAATTTTGTTCAGTCTGAACTTTTATAATCAACAATAACCACATTTGTGCCTATATAGTTTATTAGAATACCGGGGAAAAGAAAGTTTCCTCAGTCTTTTAGTTAAAATTTCTAAAATGTTAGTTAATAGGATCTACTGTATGTACCCAATGTTAATTACGTAATTCCTGATCATATATTTGAAAAAGTATATGATTTGTTACTGTGGAACATAATTCCAACTGCACTTCTCATAACTGATGTTACTTTTTAGTCCTAATTTGTGATATAAGCATATTTTTTCCCTGGACCCTTTAAAGACAATTTACTCGAACATCGGATTTTCGCATTTGCACCGAATTCATCACAACACTGAGATATGACATAAATCGTTCAAGGCTATATCAAGCAGTTGTATCCTAAAACTAGTACAATAAGTATGTGAGTATTTCACTCACCTTTTCTTTCAAAATTTAGAAACCATCCAAATTTGGATTAATAATAAAATTCGTCAGAGGTATTATTTCGTCAAACCTCATTAGAATCATAAAGTACGTTACTCAGAAACCGTAAAAAAGACTGAAATTTAAGAATGTTTCTATTATAACGCTCGGCGTTCTTCGTCTGCACGAATGGGACGTTAATTTAACTTTGACGAATATCTACACTAGCTTCCCTTTCAGTGTCTAGTGTACAGGACTCCAATACAACTCTAATCAAGAACACATGATAAGCCTGACCAGAAAGTAAATATATTTTCACACCAAAAACCAGGAAAAATCAGTAATAATAAGGATAGGGAAATATATAACTCATCTAACGCTTTTCGGACTATCTACAAGTCTGACTAAGCAAACACCCAATCAATATCATTCTCGCCTACACATCAGTTTCCATCTAAGCTCACAATTATTTTTTCACATATTACATTTTTACACATCATTCAGTGTTGATCAGTTGCTTTATTACTTAGATAAGACATGAGGTACATTAAACAAACAGACATTCTGTGTACCTTTTTAGTCGACTTCACAGAGTGAATTTATTGTGAAGAAGCCGGATTCTACTGGCAGTTATATGAAATACCTATACAATTTTTGTTTAGAAAACAGTCAATTGTCCAAAAAATGAAATTTATGAACATTTAACAGAGATCAGATATTGAAAGTATCGTGTAAAATATAACATCGAAATTATGATCTTATGTTTAATGGTGACTACGAACGAAATTCTCAAGATGTATGTCGTTTTATATGAGACTAGTAAATTGAATGTTTACTAGATATTCTTGGATTGCCAACTATTGTTTCAAAACCATACATCTTTATTAACTAGGTCATAAAAGTCAAATATACTTTAACAGATATGGGTGTTATGGTATTCTTTATCCTCTGAAATATTTAGTCATCAAGCTAAAATGGTGTAACTGTGTTGACATTTTAGCTATCTGTACAAATGGATTATCTTTACAATAGAATTACTTTAATTAGTATGTACCATTATATTGCCATTTTCTTGTTGTTTAAGCATAAAACTATTCCATTGGCATTGCGTAGATGGTCGTAATAACAACATTTATATTTCATCAGCTTAAGAAAGCAAAAAAGCTTAAAGATTTCATTTGCTGACAGTTTATCGAAAAAAGGAATGGGTTGAAACACCATTTATTTTATAAATTTACTTGACTGATGACGTTGACCTAATTACTTCACATCTGGTTAAAAGGCGTAGTTCTCACTTGATAGAGGTATATTCTGTTCCCCAAAACCTTATAAACTAATTAAATCAAAAAGCTTGATGATGGGTTATCATTCTTTGCTTAACTGTTGTACTCTACAAAATACTGAACCTACTGGTTTATATTGTCTGAACGTTTCTGTACATCATAAATATTGTTCACAATGTTTATTGTCCTGACTCATACAAAGATCATAATCATGGTATCCACACGGTCTAATAATACAATATGATACATATAATCGATGCGTACTTAGCAATATGTAAACATACTAACAGAAAATATGCAGAAAGTTGCTGGAAAACAAAACATGTATAAGCACGTAAGATATGCAGTACTATTAGTATTCATCTTATTTTAACAGGTATAAAACAATCAATAACAATAAACGAATCAACCTACTTCAGGATTAGGATCTCCTTCAGGTGGTAGGCACGTTAGCACAAGACGTTTACTGACAGCTAAATCTGTAGAAACCGGTTCCAGTTGGAATTTTTCATCTAAATCTAAATGAACAAAAAAAACATATATTCCCTTAGGATGATCAGTTGTCATGTAAAAATAGAGTAGCGTATCAATAATAACTATTAAGCGAGGAATTCGGGAACTTAAATTATCCATGATAAATGAATATTGCTTTCGATGACAGATGAACAGCTTTAAAAGATTCATACAGTGTTTGTTAGAGTTCCTGAAACAATCTCAGTAAGCAAGTTTATTAACATTCATACACGTAAATACTATCAAGAGCAAAATAAGATTGATCTACGAATCAATAAAATGATAAAAGTGCGCCGAAACTACATTACCATGATCGGGAACTGTTAACTATTTTCGATATGTTTGATTTATGAGGAAAAGATTTTTCATCTTCTCTGAGAATGTCAATATCATGTAACAAAACGCGCTTTGAAAAGTGTAAACTACAACTTAGTTGAGACGACAATCTTCTTTATGAAGCGCGAACGTGCCGTGGATTCTACCTTGTGATAGTAAACGATATGGGAAGAAAAACTATGCAATGGTCCTAATCAATTTTCTCAATAATTTCAATGAAACATTGTACATCCAATTCAAATTTTTGCACTATCTAGTGTATTTTGTTATATGAAAAAATCTACTCGGTTAATGCTGCTACATGGAAACAGGGTGGACAACATTAAATAAAATTAAGCTTTCATCCATAAGTTCTGTTATTTATTTATTTATTTCAACACATAAATATTGGTACAAGAGGGCATCAAATATATATGCGCCACACCATATTTGTGTGTGTAGGCTGTGATACTGTCCGGGTGCCCAGACCGAAGCAGATGGTTTTCTTAGGGGACCACACTCCGAGCCTTTGACCTAAAGGTCTGATCCACAAGGCAGTGGAGCATCGTGAGGAGATGCAGTCCCATGGTAGCCGGTGACCAACAATTGGTTCATACGCTATTTTTTCCCGCAGGATACTGAAGCCCATGTGCACCATTGGTTTGGAATCCGGTTAAAGCGCCGGACATTCGCTTTTCGTCCTCTCATTTTCGTAAACAACACCCCCGCCACGAGAAAGCAGTGATTAGGACTTACCTAGCAGAGGCTGTATACGCGTGGCCGTGTGAGAGCATTTCGAGAGGGAAGGCGGGCCCACCCCACTCTTGATCATACCAGGGCATTTGGGTGTCTAATAAACATCAATTTATCATTCACTATACATAATTTGCAGTACACTAAATGAAAAAAAAATGCTAGTGAAAAATGATAACAACTATAATTGATGGCGTCGAAATCTCATATGGCAAAAGTAACATTTGGTTTGGTAATCCATTTCGAATAAGCCATAAACTGCATATGATTTGATATTGTGGGAATAATGATCGTTCAAAATAAAGTTAGCAGAATGAAACGAACTATTGCTAAACACATACTTTAAACATGCTGTCATCCTGAAAACTATTTTACGAATTATTAAACTTCATCGTAACTTTTAGATACCAGACTTTTACTATTTCGGCGTCGCATTTTATTTATTAACGTTTTACCTAACCTTGTAATGCTAATGATATTCATGGTTGATCTGTGATATAATTGAATCAAATCACATAAAATAATAATAAAACATCTGACTGGATTTGAATATCACTGTAAACAACAACACTAGAGCACATTCACCAGATGAGTCTCAAACAGGACGAAATACACTTAATGGGTTATACTGCTAGCCACAATCGGTCTATCTTAAAGATTGTCTAATAGTTCTCTGAGTAAATTTATCACTATACACACCTAAGAACACTACATTGGTAAATCCTAACAAAAGTCTAGTTTTATGAAGCAGCTGCTGAAATTCTGATATCATGAATGCTAGTGGTAGTTATTGGATATGATCCTTAATTATTAACATAACTGTTTTTAACAAAATTTCCTTAGATGTTTACGTTTAGGTCCCTTTGATTACATGAAAACCTAAAAACACAAATTTTGGCTAACTATTATAATTAGAAGTTATTTCAAATAGGTTCTGCATCGTAACTTACAAAGTTACATGTAGATTGTTACTAACGTTTACAAACTCATTATCAAACCATGTCAATTTAAAAGCCTGTAAAGGATATTAAAATCTGTGTAAATAAAACAACTAAACACATTTGCGCCTGCGCTCATTCCACCAACATATGGCTTAACTAAACTTGGCTTTTCGTAGTTATGTATATCAATTGAAATACATTTTTCAGGCATACTATACAGTTAAATAAATGACAGAGATATGATTGTATTCAGCCTTCGTTAAATATTAAACTACTTTTCAACAAAACTTCAATCCAATTGAATAGAAAAATAAAATTAAACAACTGTATAGAATTTACTACATTTTAAGGAATTACATGCATATAAATCATTTCTTTGAAAATAAATTTATCATTCTCAGATTTCATTTTGTATTATTGGTTAGGCTTAAATTGATTTCGCTAACTGATAATATTACTTTTAATCTATTCATCATACACTTGTTTTTGTCATCAGATAAACTAAGAAAATGACTGTTACTGAGTTAATTAATCAAATTATACATGTTATATATGGAATAATTTCATTTTAAATATAACCATGAATGAAATGCTGTTGAAGTAAGTAAACATAACACTATTGAAAAGAACGTTAAAATTAGAATGAGTCATATGATCTCTCTCTCTCTCTCTATAAGACAAACATAATCATAAATTTCATGATATAATCAGACTAACATTTAGAAGAAAAAAATGTTCGTTTCATATTTTGTTCAATAAAATCAGATGGTTATCTTGATTACATAACTCCGTCCAGATGTATTTTATACAAAAATTGTGATTTTTAACATGCGTATTAGAAAATTTAAAACATTCATTTAAAACAGAAAAATACATTTCTGCATAATCTGTAGACTATTTTAAGAAAACCATGAATTAACAATATGGTTTCCTGTTTAATAATATAGACCTTTCTTAAGTTTCCCCAACATACACACACACACACTGATATATATGCATCATCTAAAGGAAATTTATTCAGAGTCTATGAATACAAATCCACGATAATGCCACTTTTGTGAACAGATAGTGATCTTTTTTCAATAGTACCCGAATCATACCTATTCTCTCTGAGAAAAGAATGAAGGCAAATAAATAATTTTAGATGATTTAACAAATGAATGGAAGCATCGAACTAAATTACGTTTAAAAAGATCGAATTAGAAATTCATTGAATAAGTATCAACTAAACGTTAGCGTTCTCAGATTCATTGTTTGATATAACACTTATGAGTTTGAAGTTAGGACTAGGCCTGCCTCAAGAAAAAAATCATCAAAATAGAACAAAATTTTACAAAGCAACAATAAACTTGGTTAATCAGTCTCTAAGCGTTACAATTCGAGAATGCAATGAAGTAGAGTCGAAGAGAAAAATCAATTATCTGCCAATGACTCATTGCTATGTATAATAGAAATGATTTAAAAAGGTTAACTGAAAGTCAGAACATGTGTAACAAACACATCATTTAGGTTAATTAGAAATTCAATGTAAATTTACTTTTTCCTTCTCATTTTGATAATTAAATTTGTTGTTTCACATATATTTTCGTATGTGTTTATGTCAACATACTTGTTGATGGATTCATTTAATGAATCCACAAAAATGATTTGTTATCAATAAACAAGTAAATTATTCTTTGAAAAACTAAAAAAAAAAATGAAGTTTCTTATTTAATTTACAAAATCTTTAAATAACATGTAGATGATGGGACGATGATATTAAAGGAACAAAGGTAATGATTATGCCTTTTAATTAAAACTGAGATTGACAAACTTCTTTCAAGTCAATGAATTGTTTCATTTGTATTGGTATATCAACAGGATCATAAGTAATATCACCACGTTTGTTAGATAAACATCATTCACTTCTGTTCACTGACAACATTATATTATCAGCGATTAACGATGTATCTAATCATTATTTAACCATGAAAAAGTTTTAATCAAAAACTTCAGAATGGTAACTTGTAGTTCGTATTACACGGTCAATGTGTCATCTTTAACGGTTTTTTTCCTCAATTTTCGTCAAATATTTGTATATTTGTAACTTCAACGTTGGAAATATCCCGTTTTCTAATGACTGGAATAAGTGGATAAACATATTTTATAGTGTTAGATCATAAAATTGATTGGTGTGTTTGTTCAAGAATCAACCCAACAATGAATTTCAAATGTTTCCAAAAATCTAAGCTTCTGTTTATCATACAAAACGACAACTAGTTTCTTAATATTCTATTCAATATCTAGTAAATTAGAATAGAATCTTTAAAATTAATTATAATTGAGTTAAAGTTGATCAGGTAACATTAGCTAAACTAATTTTAGTTATAATGGTAAGAAATGTATATAGTGAAGGCTAACGATTTCGCGCTTCTAAACCAATGACGATGTACTGGTATCTAAGTTTAACAACTGACTGATTATTTCATCTCACCATTCATTGGCTTTTTAAGGCTTACAGAATAAGCTAAAGATGAGTTATAGAGAAGCAGGAGTCATTATAAAAATATGAAGACGTTGAGAGGATTGAGAAATAGCGCATTATGCAATTTGGTTTTATATTTGTATATACATACGATTGCATTTTTCACTTCGATGATAAATAAATTTTTAACTTTTAACTTCTTGGCACAATGTTACTTTGTACTCATCAACTTAATTTTCTAGTCTTATTTCGAGCTGGTTGGGTATTCTTTCCCTAGATCGAAGTTCATTCATCAATGATGTTTTATTTCATGAAAATTTATATTTATGTTTAAATGGGCTGTCATGGCACATAAATCATCTGTAACGATTATCATTTCTTGATATAACATCATTAACATACTATGTCTCAGTTACAGAAATATGCTTGATACATAGAAACAAATTTTTGTATCTTTCAATATGAGATTCTGTAATTTGTACCAAGTTTATTGTTTATTTTAAGGACAATCATATTGATAAATTAAGCATAA